CGTGTATACGTTCATATAAAACATGAATTTTTATTTGAGGTTTTTATGAACTTTTATTGAAGTTAATCATCTCAGAAATGTATACTTTCATCTTTGATTGCCAGTTCTATTTCAATTATCCATTTTTGTAAAATATCACGTGAGTTTATCACCAGTAAACAAAGAGGCAATACAACTATATGCTTTGTTATCTGTCATGAGCTAAAAATGACAAATACTGGTAATCAGTAACCAAACCTGATACACTTTCAAAGAAATCACATGATTGGTCACTGATCATGATGCTCATCTCTATGTAATGATTCGTGGACTGAAGAACCAGCAGCGAAATTGTACGTTGTGCAGTTATTTATAGATATAATATTGTGGTAACTGATATTTGAGTTGTACTTTTGGGAAATGACATTTTTAAAGAAATCCATGCATATCAGAATTGTGCAGAGCTGGAGCTGCTCGTATATACATATACCATAAATATGAGTGCATATGTATTAAATGTGAAGTAGTTAGCAGTTCTCCACTTTTTTTGGTAGCTAATTATTGGAGTATAACCTACAAATTGGAAAGCACATAAAACTTAAACCATATCTATGTAACTGTTCAAGAAATGGAACCTTAACATCACTCCAGAAGTCTCTCTTTGTGCCCTCTTCTGATTATACGTGACCCGGCAAATAACTACTCTCCTTCTAACATCATAGGTTTAGGTTTATTTTAGAATTTATGTAAATGGAATCACACAGTGTGTACTCTTCTGTGTCTGGCTTTAGCTTATGTTTATGAGCCGTATAGTATCATCCCATTGTGTGACTATCCATTTTATTGTTGATAAGTATTCGGTTAGTTTCTGGTTTTTGGTTATTATGATACTGATGCTAAAAAGATTCTAATACATGCCTTTTCAACATATGTACTCATTTCTGTTGGCTGTTTAAGGGTAGAATCACTTAGGTAAAAGGATTGCATATGTTCATCCTTAGAGATAATTTCCAAACTGTTTTCCCAGGCAGTTGAACTATTTTGCACTCTTACCAACAACATAGGAATGTTTTAGTTGCATTTGATCAGGGGTTGGCAAACTATGACTTACTGCCACTTTTTGTTTTTAATGGGTTTTGCATTTTAAGTAGTTGGGAAAAAACACAAAGAAGAATCATATTTTGTAACACATGAAAACTATATGAAATTTAATTCAGTTTCCATAAGTAATGTTTTATTGGACCATGGTCATGCTCATTCAGTTATGTTTTGTCCGTAGCTGCTTTTGTTACCACAGTGTCAGGGTTGAGTAATTGTAACAGAGACTGTACTGCCCACAGAGTCTAATATATTTTCTCTCTCTTTTTTTTTTTTGTCAGGCTAGGCAACCCTTGGTTGACCTCACAGATTGCAAGGACCTTGTCAGTTTACAATCCCTTATATTTTTTATTTTTTTTTTATGCCTACAACACCTGGTCTTCCTAGATGGTCTCCCATCCAAGTACTAACCAGGCCCAACTCTGCTTAGCTTCTGAGATCAGACGGGATTGGGCTTGTTCAGGGTAGCATGGCCGTATACAAATATATTTTCTATATGGCTTTTTTTATAGGATTTGCTGATGTTGGTCTACATATTTGCTAGCACTTAGTATTCTTAATCTTCTTTTTTTTTTTTAAGCCATTCTAGTGGGTCTGTAGTTATATCACATTGTTACTTTATCTGATGCCTAATAATGTCAACTAGTTTTTGATAGAATTTTTTGCCATTTGGATATATTATATGTTGCTTATTGAAGGCTTTTTGGACCATTTTTCTATTGAATTATTTGTTTATTAATGAGTTTTAGGAGATTAAAAATTTTTTTTAATATGCTGTGGGTACAAGTCCTTTGTGGAGTTATTTATATCTCTATGGCAATATTTTCTCTTAATCTGTGGCTTGCTTTTACATTATCTCAATGGCATTTTTATTAATAAAAACTGTTATTCTTTTAACAAAAGAGATTGGAAATTTCTTTAAAATTAAAAAATTTTTTAAATCAGAAATGTAAAATTTTAGATAGCAAAGACATACATTTATATTATGGAGTAATATAATTTTTTAAAGCTAATATTTTGTAGTTTATTGTTGAAGAGGAAAAATAGAATTTGACCTTAAATTTGGATAACCAATTAATTTTTTAATTATTTAAGAAAATTATCTAAAAATAATTTTTATTAAATTTTTATCATTTCATTTTAGATATTAAGGATGAAAGTGAAATAATACTGAATCCAGAAGAAATGGCATCTTTGGAAGAATATATTCCTACTCGACATACAAGTATTACTCTTCTCAAATGTACTTGCACAATTTTCATGGCTGAATTCAACTTGCTGGATCAATTGCTGCCTGTCATTATGGGAGAAAAGGTATATTTTGCAATTTATTTCCATATATGCATGTTTGTTTGTCCCATGATATTGTAAGAGGAGGGTGATTAAGTAAAAGAATATCTGCTCATATAGTTATCCTATGAAGTTAAAGCAATGTAAATGTGATTGTGTTTTCAACCTAAGGCTATTTAAGAAATGTTGAAGAACGTGGGCCTGGAAGTCAGACCACGATATACTAGCTGTGACACCTTATGATATCTTGTCTTATTTTCCTTTTCTGAAAAACAAAAGAAAATTATATTTTTCAAGTGGGCTGACAGATTAAACCAGTAAAGAAGCAAGAAGCCCAGATATTCAGATAGTTTATTACTTACATAGATAGTAAAGTAAATCAATAAAGGTATCAGCTTGCTATGTCCCTTTCAGGACAGCCCTTAAACCAGAAGGCCAAATGACATGGAACACACATGGTAGGGTACCCTGTTGATAAAGATTTAATTCTACACTGCAGCTGAGCAGGTATATATGTCTGTCTGTCTGTCTGTCTGTCTGTCTGTCTCTCTCTCTCTCTCTCTCTCTCTCTCTCTCACACACACACACACACACACACACACAGCTGTACTATTAAGAAGGGTAGGTGGAAAGCCCATTTATCTCATCTGGATGAGGGATGCTGATGAGAAAATATCTCATACCAGGCTCCCTCAAGATGACAAGGTGAGTGAGAAATTTTTTAACAGCTCCTTACAAGACCACTTGTCTTCCCCTGTTCTGATAGTGTCATAGGATGTTCTGCTAAGGCTCAGGTGTTCCCATGGTTGAGCCTTGCCTTTGTGATCTGCATGGATTTGTGTAAGATTGTCAGGAAGCTGGCACAGAGCAGTTCCCCTAGATTCTAGAATTATTTTGAATATTCAGTGAGATAATGCACATAAACCATTTTGCACATGTTAGGAACCCAGTTATTAACTATTGTTATTCTATTTAATGAGGGCTTATTAGATGCTTAATATTTGTTTAAGGTCAGTAAGGTCACTGTATTGCTTTCTGAGTTTGCCATATACATAATAAGATATCTGTTATCTTTATTATTTTTTAAAACTATTTTAACTCTGACTTTAAGAAGAATTTATGGAAGTATAGCAGGGAATTGATTATGAGGTAGTAGTTTCATTTTGTATATTTGTTCTCTATTGGCTATTCATAATTAATTATTGTGTTGCTAGGTAAAGATATCACTGGGGAAAATTTCAGTGAAGATTAAAATATGTCAATATTAGACATGAACTTTAAAGTTACTGTGATTAATAAGTTCAAGGAAGAGGCAAAAACGTAGAAGATTTCAAAAGAAACCTCAGTCCATAAAAGAAGAACCAAATGAAGTTCTAGAACTGAAAACTATGACACAAGTTAGCAGTAAAAGGGTGGAAAAGATATACCATTTAAATGCTAATCGAAAGAAAGATAGTGTGGCTATTTTAATACTGGCAAATGTAGAGTTTAAGACAAGAAGTGTTATTAGAAAATAAAGAGAACCACTTTATAATGATGAAAGTGTCAACTCTAAGAATGAACAACATAGATAAATCTCACAGATGTTATGTTGAATGAAAACAGGCAGACATTAGTATATACTGTATAATTCCGTTTATAGGAAGTTTGAGAACAGACTAACTAATCTATGGTGAATATTGGCTACCTCTGATGAGGATTCAGTATTGCCTTAGGAGGGACATAAGAGCCTTCTAACGTGCTTGAAATGTGTGGTGATTATAGGTGTAAAAGTTCATTGTGCTCTGTCCTTCACATTTGTGTGTTTTGCTGTAATACCTCAATAATTCAAAACAGTCACTTAAAGTAACTGCTTAATAAGTAGTAGTTTAAAAATTATAATTAATAATGAGTCAAAAAAGCAGGATTGTATGTTTAGTCAATTTTAGGCACAGTATTTCTCAATAATGGCACTTTCGGTTTTTCGTACTGGAGAAGTATTATTTATTATTTACCACCTTTAGCCAATGCCTGCTAAATGCCAGTAGTGCTCCCTAATTATTGTGACAATGAAAGACAGACAAAACAAGACAGTGAAACTCCTTTTTCCCACATTTTTTCCACGTACCTCCGGATAGGTTATACTGTTTCTCTTTGAGAACTATGGGTATCACTTTTAAGGGAGTAAGTTAGTTCTGAGAGGAGCCGTGATGCTTGCTAATCAGGGTTGATACTCTGGATATCTTGAAACTTTACCTGCATTTGTTTGGAAACTTAGAAAGGTTCTGTATCACTGAAAATGCTAAGCCTATCTTGAGAGTCCTAGAACTTCATGAGCCTTTAGCATGTGTATTATTAGTAGATATGATATGGATCAGAAATTTAAGTTTGCTTACAGTATCTTTGAAACTGTCTGGAGTAGTTCACTTAGTCCCTTAGGCATCTAATTGTGAATAAAGGCAAAGAAGATAAAAGGAGTTTATATCTAGGAAGTTTTTTTGTAATTGAGCTTAAGAAAAACCTTCAATGCACTGAGGCATGTAGTGGCACTATTATAGTTGATTGAAAAAATAAAAAGCTTGCTAAAAGGGTAGTGATAATTTTGCAATAAATATGTATTTTTTGAAATCTGGGACATACTTAAAAATATGTAGAAGGTGTTTTTATTTGGTTTTGATAAAAGAGTCCCATAGAAAGGCGTCATTTCTAGATTGATTTGATATCATTGCAAACTCTGCCAATCTGAAGCTTATATAGTGGGCATTGCACATCAGTCATTGTTCTCCTGAAATATAAAGTGAACACTATTATTTTCCAGAACTCAAGTAACTTCATGAATACTGCAAACTTCCAATCTCTTCGGCCTTTGCCATCTATTCAGATATTGGTGGATAAAATTAATCTGGAACATTCTGTGCCGATGTATGCTGAACATTTGGTGCACGTGGTCAGCAGCCTTACTCAGCCTTCTGATAATCTGCTTCATTATTGCTATGCACACTGCTACCTTAAGGTATGAAAAGTGAATTTTCTTGTTTATTAGTATCTGGTTGGCTTCGAGAGAATTAAATCTATTTTTTTATTGAGTTTTAATTTCACAGAATTAGTACTCCATAAGATGAAATTTAAATAAGCTATCATAGCTATCTATATTCATTATTCAATACAATTAAAATGAATAAAAAATAAAAGTTCCTCTTTAAAAGACATTTCTTCAATTATTTGGACTTATACCTTGATGTTTGTAAGATAATAATAATTATAATTTTGAAGATTTTATGTGTCATTGATGATATTTATAAGCAGTGTGAAAGAGCATTTAGTTTATGATGGTGCTTTAAAAGACTCATGATTTCCTTGAGGGGATGATTTATGTGAGACAATGTTTTATAAGGAGGGTTTAACACATTTGTTTTTTACTCACTTTCTTCTTATTGAATTTGTGTTAATTTCTTGATGCTACAGAAAATCTGATTGCTTTAAATTATGTAAATTATTGGAGCTTTGCTCATCTCGTCCATATCTTTTTTTATAAATAAATAATACACCCCAGTATAAGTAATACAAAAAGATAAACTCAAACGTTGATCAATAAGTGTTTTTGCTAAGCAAACCCAGATAGATGTATAGTCTAAGTGTAGATAGCATATACCTAATCAATTCTGTTTTATGGACTATAGGAAACCAATCAAAGATGCATTCAAGAATAAGTACTAAAATTAGCAAAATATCCTCTAGGTCCATCTATGTTGTCACAAATGGCAAGATTTTATTCATTTTTATGGCTGCATAATATTCCATTTTATATATGTACCACATCTTTATCCATTTGTCATCTGTGGATGGACACTTAGGTTGCTTCCATATCTTGGCTATTTTAAATAATGTTGCAATGAATATAAGGATGCATATATCTTTTTGAACAAACAAACAAACAAACAAACACAGATATAGATAAATCGATGGTTGCTAGATGAGAAGGGGGGATTGGTAGGATGAGTGAAAAAAGTGAAAGGGATTAAGAAGTACAGATTGCCGGTTATAAAAATAGTCACAGAGATGTAAAGTGTGGCATAGAGAATATAGTCAGTGATATTGTAATAATCATGTATGGTGTCCGATGGATACTTGCCTTATTAAGATAGTCACTTCATAGGGTATGTAAATGTCTAATCATTATGTTGTACACCTGAAACTAGTATAATAATGTGTGTTAGCTGGAATTGGGAAATAAAAAGTGAAAAAAAAAAGAACAAGTACTAAAAATGTACTAAATTTTATGTAAAGTACTATAAAATTAGAGGACTCCCAAAATAGACCCCTGACTATATTGGTTCATATTTATTGTTTGGTATTTTAAAGTTCTTAAGTATTTGTGTATTTGTAAAGTAAAAAGAAACCAATTTAAAGATATCAGTTTTAGACCACCTCTAGATATATTTAAGATGTTCAGATTTAACTGATTTCAAACCATATAGAGTAGAAGAACGTTTTTCTAGCTGTCAATGCAAAGCCTATTTTTAAGACGATAGAGGAGACTCCACTCCCTTGATGGAGGAGCCACAGTATCATGTTGCAACAAGGGAGGTGTGGACACAGAGAAATGTGATTCATTGAGGGTCATTATTATAATGATCACAGTGTTTTATGTTATGTGGGTAGAAGCAAAAGGTATTCTTGAAAGCTAGATATATATTTTATACCTGTGCTCTTTAATTCATTCCTACAGTTTATACACTGAAGTGTATTTTTTTTTAATAGTGGTACAGCAATATCAAATTATAATGTTAAGAATATTTGCTTTATTTTGTTGAAACAGGTCTAATTTTAGGCAGTTCACCAATCTTTCCAAGGTATTCTACTTATGTAGGATTCATTAATTTGGTAACTATTAAGTTCTTTCCATACTGCAGACATTCAGCATTAAAGATGAATAAGGTATGCTTCATCTTCAAGGAAAATGGTCATCAAAGCCATTGTTTATCAATATAGTTGTCATCCATACTGACATAAAAGTTGTTGGGATAGTTGTTTACCACTGCTATTGTTAATAGGTTAAAATCCTGATAAAATTTCCAGGGCAATGTAAAAGTTATAGTGTTGTCCAGATAAAGTTATATTTTATAAAAGGTCTTTTGCTACACATGTTGTCTAGTTGTCTTTTAAATTTGGTTAGTTTGACTATCACTATAATGGATAAGTTAAATGTCCCAGGAATCTAGGTGGTGTGCAGAGTGAGAATAGTATGTAGAAAACTTTTCATTGGTATTATGAATATTGAATACTTAAAAAGAAAAGGCCTTGAGTCTTGACTATTTCATTGCATTTTTGATGCTGCTTTACTAGCTTAGTACATTTAAAAAATTTCAGGATTTGGTGGTTTTAATTTATATGACTCAAAATACTAATTTGTTAAAAAGTTTATTAGCAGTTCTTGTTACTTGGGATGATTACTATATAAAACCTTTGAGGACATTTTTAAAGTTTAATTTTCACTATTACAGTATTAAAATATTACAGTAGAGGATTTAAATGTCTATTTTATGTGTGCAGCATTTAAGACCCTAAATAATTTTCAATTACATACTCAAACACGTACTCAATTTTTAATTTTGTATACCTAATTTTGACTATATGATGAAATGGTATGTAGTACTCATTTTATGTAATGAAATTTATTAATTGAGAGAGTTGGCATCGATGTGTGAAGAAAACATGCAGATGAAAATTTCATATGTTTTACTAAATCCTCTTTATGTAACTGTGAAACCTGTTCTTTGATGACATATGGCGTGAACTAGCTAAGACATTACAAAGCATCTCATGTTTGAAACATGTAGAAAATAAATTAGTGAAAGTACCCTATAAACTATATAATAATATAAATTTAAGGTCATGCTACTTGTAAGGGTCAGCTATGGTAGATGCTTCAGAGAGATCAGGAAGGCTATAGTAGAATCAAAACCTTTTAGATTTTTTTAGAGTTGGTAATTTTGACCTAAGTAAACAGTTTTTCCTGAGAATGTGTGGAGGTATGGTGCTTTCATACAGGGCTGATGGGTATATAAGTTAATATCATTTTGGAGAGTACTTTCACAGGATCTAATAAACTAGAAAACACATCTACCTTATACCCATCTCTTCCAATTTTCAGTATATTATCTTACAGCAGCGTCAGCAAACTTTTCTCCAAAGAGACAGATAGTAAATATTTTAGGCTTTGTGGGACAAGAGGTAAAATTTAGGATATTATGTAGGTACCTGTGTAAGAGAGAACAAACTTCAATAAATTTTAAGTTAATCAAATTCAGACTGTAATAGTATACTCTTTTTTTTTTGTGATACAATTTTACAATTTTGCTAATGAGAAGAATGGAATTTTTCTGGCGGGGTTAATGTTTCACCTTTTTGGGGTTCCAACTTAGTGTTCTTGATATCTTCAAATTGATTATAAATGTTCATATGTGAAAATTATTCTTAGCTTGTAGGCAATACAAGAAGGCAGTGAATTTGAATTTGGCTTGCGGGCTGTAGTTTGCTCACCTGTGCCCCAGTAAAATTTTTGCATATGGTGACATATGTAACTAGAGGTCTAGTGAGGCTAACATGGATAGCTTCCCTACAATGTAATTTTTGGTGGGAATACCAGGAAGCATAATAGTATATATAGCATGATGCCATTTATGTAAATTAAGAAAACAAAATAATGTTAAAGATTGTTTATGGCTATAAAAGGGTCTATAAATGTATAACAAATGGAAAGGATACATTTTGAACTCCCAGAAGTGAAATTAGGTGGTCTGGGTGTGATTGGAAGGCAGTGAAACTCATGGAAGGGTTATGGTTAAATTAGGCTTCAGCTATATCGTAAGTCTTTTTATTTTTTAAATAACAACTTGATTGGGATAATTGACATACTATAAATTTACCTTTTATAAAGAATAAATATTAGTGATTTTTAGTATTTTCGCAAAGTTAATGCTACCATCACCACTTTCTAATTCCAGAACATTTTCATCATCTGAAAAAGAAACCCTCTACCCATTAGCATTCACTCCTCATTTACTCTACTTTGTAACCATTTATCTACTTTCTGTCTATACATATTGGCCTATACTGGACATTTAATATAAGTGGAATCATACAACCTATAGTCAGTCTTTTGTGACTTTTTTTCATTCAGCATAGTCTTTTCAAGTTTCGTCCATATTGTTGCATGTATCAGTACATTATTTCTTTTTTTATAGCTGAATAGTGTATTCCATTGTGTGGATATACTGTATTTTTTTTATCTGTTGATAGACATTTGTATCATTTCCACTTTTTGGCTGTTATGAATCATAGAGCTATGAACATTCATGTTTAGGTTTTTGTGTGAACACAGGTTTTTCAATTTCTCTTAAGATACATGACTAATCTTGGAGTTGCCTGATCATATGGTAACTCTGTTTTTAATATTTTAAACTTTTCCCCTCAAGGGATTGTTACATTGTTTTACTGTTCCACTAGCAGTGAATGAGAGGGTTCCTATTTTTCCACATCCACACTAACACTTGTTATTTATTGTTTGTTTTTTTGATTTTAGTCATCTTAGTGGTTGTGAAGTGGTACCTTGTTGTGATTTTGATTCATGTTTTTATGAGTGATGTTGAGCATTTTTTTCATGTGCTTATTGGCCACTTATATATCTTCGTTGGAGAAATATCTGTTCAGATCTTTTGCCCATTTTAAAATTGAAATTTTTTTTAATGTTGTGTTATAATCATTACTTTATGTATTTTGAAGGATTTTATTTCTTCAATAGTATAGGCGACAGGATGACAGTATTTATATTTTTTAAGTTCTGGGTGATGGAAAAATCATTATTATTTATTATTTCCTCACTTAAGTTGTTGGTGAAAAAAAGTCAAGAGAAAATACTTAATTTCTCTCCATAAGAAATAAAAATATAAGTATCAGTTGCAGTGCAGAGTTTCTTTTTGTTTTAGTGGATACATGAACAGAAACTAGATTTAGTGGGTTTAAGGAATGAGTAGACAATGAAAAAAAATTAGCATTCTCTAGGCTATTCTTTGAATATATTTGCTGAGGAAAGGTGAGAAATAATTTTTACTGATGGTTGAAGGAGAAGAGTTGGTGAGAAAGGTGTTTTTTTCTTTAAGAATAAGTGAAGAATTAATCATTTTTTTGGGTAGGGGAAGGAGGAAATGGACGGAGGAAGCAAGGCAGAATGACATTGTGAGCTAATAGATGAGCTAAATCAAATGAAGCATTATCTTGTGTTCTAGCAATAAGTAATTTTGAAGAAGTCCTTTATCTTTTTTGGAGTTCATTTTTTCCCATATGTGAAATGAGATAATTTAGTTAAATAATCTCTAAGCAGTTCTAGCTCTGAAGTTCGAATGTTTAACTAGATCAGGTTGCATTCTTTTCCTCTGACCTTTTTCTTTCTAAAATTCCTATGCTGTAGATTTCTAGTTATAATCATTTTTTTATTCAGTTTTTACATGTTTCAGTGTATTACTGTATACAGATTAACTTTTGACATGAAGGTAATGCTTAATTTTTTAATCCCTTTAAGAAAGGGCACATCTTTAGGATGCTGGTTATACTGTTATACTGAGTGTCTTATAATAACAACGGCATAAAAATGAATTGTTTCATATCACAGTTATGTGTTTTCATTGTCATTAATAGTATATGCTTTTCGTAGTTTTTGTCTTTTTACCATTGCAAACCCTAATTTAGCCTACTAATTTTTATTAAATTATTTGAAATAAGTTGTTTTGTTTTTAACTATAGTTTCTTTGATATGAGATGTTAATTCAAGAACATTTGTTTTACAGTGTTAAAATATAGATTGTATATTTATTTTTATTGTTTTCTACTTAGTTTTTTGAAGATGGCAGTACGTGTTTGACTTTTCATTGTGATATGTAAGCCATCTTATTCAAGTTGACATTTCCTTCAGCTAAAATCTCTGTTAGTAGTTAAATTTACTGCTTCGTACATTCTTACTGCTTCAGACTATTAACTTTGCAGTGTTCAGTACTTCTGTTTCAGAGTATATGAACCATCTTTGGTGAAAGCAACCTCAATTAATACTGTGCTGGTTTTCCATTTTTCTAGATAAAATGTTTGTGATCTTGGTCAAGGGTTGTTGTAAAGTTATTAGGTTATATAGGTATTGTAAATATATGTGACTTACTGCTTTAATTTTAAGGAGTTGAAAATTGATTATTTTGAAATAATTATTTTTGACGTGGTAGATAGGCCCTCTTTCATTATAATTTATGTTTGCTTGAATGTTTCCTGAGAAGTATCTCTGGAGAATATGTAAATTGAGTAAAAGCTTTAAAACAATTATGTAATACAGAGTATCCCTAAAGTCCTCTGCAGTTCTGCAAACTAACAGCAGGGGATCTCCTCTACACCCAGTTTCCATCTGAGTACAGTTAATAATAGTGTCTGCGATTATACTGTTGAGGCATTTTATAGACTATGAGAAAGTAGCTTGAGAGAGTTCTTAGTTGGACATAGATAATCTAATGTGATATTTTCAGTTCTGTATTTTTTCTCACTTGTATAATAGTTGGACTTATAGGAATTAATAGATATATCACTTTTATTTTCCTTGATACTAATTAGATAGGTAGGTAGGTCCTTTTCAGTTCAGTTTTCTCTGGAAGTATGCCATTCTAACTAATGTCTTATTTCCAAAAAAAATAATTTGTTCTCTGAAAACTGACTTTAGAGGAAAGGATTTGACATTGTCAGTTTGATGAATGATAAGGGTATAATAGCTTTATAAAACTATTGGGAAGTAGCTTAATACTTTCTAAGCAATTGATCACTGGTTTATGTTCATTAAATGAAAGTATTTTGTTTTTGAAAATTAGTTATTGAGAATTTTTAAACATGTTTCATTATAGAATGTAGCAGTTATTGTTAATCCTAGAGATAGGAAAGTCTCAGTGCTTTATAAACCCAAGGAATAAGAAATAATAATGAAAGATAAATATTAGGGTTAAGCTGCTTTTGCATGTTGTTGGAGAACAGTAACTGTTTTGTATCCCTGTGTCAGTGTTTCCTGTTTGAGATGTTTATCTTTCACCTTATTGGAAATAATTGGAGCAGAAACATCATATTTAGTTCTCTGCAGTGTTTCATGTAAAATGTGATGTTATATTGATTCTTCCTATTAAGGCAAATACAGTGTTCAGAAATTTCAGGGAATGCTTATAAAATTTTTGAGTACATTCTGCTCGTTTTAAATCTAAACATATGAAGAGCAATTTATGCCATGTTCCAAGTTTACTGGGTGAGAAACTATAGTCCTACAATTATTTTCTCACACAAAAGGGAGAAGATATAACATTTTAGGATATATCTGGATATGCTTTTTCTGTGTGTGTAATGTAAGTGGAAGTCAAAATATATTTTTAAGATTGTTCTTATAGTTAATATTCTTTTAGTCATAAAAGGATCATAGTAACTGATTACTACTGATATTAATTAAAGCTAATATCTACATGTGCATGGTGCAGTTAATTTAATAGAAAATATGTACAGTTTACAGAGAAGAAACACTAAATGAGAATTATGTATAGAAATAAAATGTGAAACTTAGAAAGTGAGTCAAAAAAGCAGGGATGTTAAAGAAATGTTGTATATTTAAATCTCTTAATTCTGACTTAATGTTGAATAAAAAAATGTTGATGTTTGGGAAGTGGAAAAAGACATTGGAACATATTTAGCGTGCAGCTGTTGTAGAGCAAATTGAAACTGACGTATTTCATCCTGTGCTTATTAAAACTTTGTCTCTGTGAACATTTGGATCTTTTCTTTTTGTTTCAGATATTTGGTTTCCAGGCAGGACTGACATCTTTGGATTGTAGGGGATCTTACTGCTTACCTGTACCGATTATTCCCTCTTTCAGCACTGCCCTTTATGGTAAACTTCTGAAACTACCCACATGCTGGTAAGTATTATGTTAAAATGTGGTTTATGGTAATTTTTATTTATTATTTTAGGAAGAGAAAAACAATTTTGTCTTATACCAGTGAATTAATTTTATACAAAACTTTAGAAAAATGTCTAAATTTATACTCTTTTACTGAGACACAAAAAAAATCTCTTTTAATGTCTCAAGTGTATTAAGTCATAATACCTTTTGTGGTGATGATTGTTGTTGAGGTAATAACTGTTAATCAGTGTTGGAGCTATAGTAAAATGTTGCTGCTTCTTACTGTAATAGGAATTGCAAAGGCAAAGGCTTTTTTTTTTTCCTTTTTGGGAAAGTACAGAGATTAAAGGAAAAGTTGCATATTAATATTAAGGCCAAAGTATCACATAAATAAGAATTTTATGTGTATTCATAGCCACTGAGAAAAGTATACCCATGACACACATTTAAAATATTTGACATGTTTATGTGTAATTACTGCATTTTGGAAGAAATTGATTTTAACCCTTACTTTCATTCACAATTGGGTTACTTTACTTGGAGGTTATATTTCCCTAAATTCAAAAAGATTTATAGAAAGAAAGTCAATACTTACTAATCATACTTTTCTTTTATTTCCAAGTAATACTTTTAATATATTAAATAATTGTTTAAATATATGAAATAAGGTCTAATATATGAAATTATTAGAATATAATAGAAAGTAAAATAGTTTTATATTTTAAAATTTAGATTATTTCAATTATTTGGAATATGTCTTTTTCTCATCCTAATTAGTAAGCTTATTTTCACAGGATGTATTTTAGTTATTTATGAAAAGCAACATAACTTTCAGAAAACATATTTCTTAATCCAAAGTACTTCATTTATTAATAACGTTTTTTAAAAATAATATATCTTTTAGAATGAAATTTGTAAAGTAATGTTTACATTTTCAAAGAGATTTCCTGTTGATCCAGAAAATTAAAAATATACAGAATTGTAGTTGTCTTACAACCAGATTTTTTATAAAATGCAGTCATTATTAAATGATTGTTCGTATTTTCTCTTCATAAGTTTAATTTTGTCTTTAGTCTTCCGTATTCCTCATATATCATTTATTATGTTTAGAGATTCACTTTTCAACTTTTTATTCATGTATACACAGCATGTTGCATTTGAGTCAAGTTTTATATTCTGTTCTATTAAGAAATATCGTGGAATATATCCCAGATGATATGTTATATCAACTTTAATAGATATTTGTGATACTATTATCTCAGTTATGTGCTGATTTACCATTCATAACACTGAAATTTTATTAGAAATACAGTGCGATATACTATAGAAAATGCTTAACAACTTTTTAAAATAAAGCCCAGTTTACCAAAATGGATTATAAGCCTTTATATGAAAAATATTGAATATTTAAATACTCAAGGCTTATTTTAAGGATATATAGGGCTTACTATAAATATTGTCAAATGTGTTATAAAATATGTCCACTGACATCTAAAAGAAGATTTTCCAGTTAAATACTAAAAGCATGAGATCACAGAATGCTGATATTTATTTAGATATGATTTGCTTTTTTGTAGGTCACACCACTTCTCATTATTTCATATTTCATATTTTTGTTATGCTCTGCAGAACTGTATTACTGTGAAATAGTTTCTTTAAATTGTTTCCCTTAATAAATAGAAAATAAACCATAATTCTTAGTAACTCTACATTGAAAGTAATAAATACAAAACTCAATAAACTGAGATGTATCTTAGTTAAATGAAGTGAATAAAATACCATTTATAATATATTATATAATCTTGAATTAAATCAAAATCACTTGAGAACTGAGTTTTATTTAACTCATGCATTGAGTGAGACTTTTTTTAGTAAGGCACCCTGCTTATGTCATTATATATCAGCTCTGTTCCCATTCATGATCTCTCCCTCAGATTACACAAGTTGTTTCATTTGGATTTTTAAAATTCACATTCCAAAGTTTCTGCACATTTCTGATGCTGTGTATACATTTCATTCAAGAATGAGAAGAGCATATTTACTTCAGGCCACAGCTTTTAAAACAAACACATTTTATAGCACACAAAAAATTTAGTTGGTATGTTTGAGTTAGCAGTGAAAAAAAATCTAGATTTTATGTAAATGAGCAAAATTGTTTATACTCATTGTTTAAAAATATTTTTAAATTGAACTTTTAATTGTGTGTGAAGTTGAAGCTAATTACCATTTACTTTAATCAAGTTTGCTAGTAAATTTTTAAGTAACATTTAAAGTAAATTCTTTTTCTTCCATTTAAATGTTCCTATTAATGTATTTTAGCCTCAATGAGCAAGCTATTACTAAATTCCTGTTTCTTAGAATTTATTTTTTCAAAATATTTGGTTATATTTTATTTTTCATTTTGTATTACGTAATTTCCAAACGTACAAAAATAAACTTTTCAACAAAAACTTTTTCCTTAATGTTTTATATCAGGTTAACATTTAGTTATTTTAACCCCTTAGAACAGGATCGAAATGTGTAGGATATCATGGGAAAGACAGTGATCAGTGATATTTAATTACAGAAATCTTGAGCAATTAACTTAAATTTTAATTCACCACTTTTTTTAAAGATATTTTAAAAATGGCAGTAAAGGGCTGATTTAAGGGCAGTAAAATATAACCTTGTTATTGCTAGCAGAATTAAGTGTTGGTTTTTATAGATAGTTATATTTAAAATTTCTACAAAGGGTAATGCCTATAGGCTTCTAAGATGCATTATTAACATATTATTAGAACAGAAATGATAAGTATTTCAACTCTTTTAAAAATTTTTAATTGAAATAATATCTTACAGAAAAGAACGTATATTATGGTATTTCATAACTGAACTGATCTTTGGTAACCAGCTGAAAGATCAAGAAATAGGATATTAAAAGCCTCTCTTGTTCAGTCCTCCAAGGTTAATCATTATCCTGATTTCTAATAGCATAGATTAGTTTTATCTGTTCTTGGATTTAATATAAATGGAATCCTACAACATATATCCTTTTTTGACTGGCTTCTGTCACTCAAAATAATGTTTATGAGATTCATCCATACTATGGAGTATAGTTTTTAGATAGTTTGTTTAGATAGTATAGAGTTTAGTTTTTTTGCTTTTGTCATTATACAGTATTCTATTACATAAACATTGATGATTTATACATCTGGAATTTTAATTTAAAAATAAGTACCTGAAGCTTGTGTCAGTTTCTTTTATTATTTCTTTGGTACTTTTCCTTTTCCTTAAGAAACTTCAATTGTATTAGGAGAGATTAGATGTCATTCATTAAATCTTTTTTGATTTTCTGTGTTTTGATAGGCATTGTGCTACATGTTAGGATTGGAGAAAGAATAAAGAAGGATGCAAAGAGAGTAAGAGATATTCTCCTGACCATGAAAACTAATAGTCTGGTAGGGGAGAGCACTAGACATATGAAAACAGTGGTCTTTAAATTACAAAATTAAAGCTTAAGAAAAATGTCCTGTTTAAAGAAAATAGAAAATATTCCTGAGACGACAGTGATGGCTTCAGAGAAGTTGAGCTTTAATGGTTGAATCATAAAGACGTCCAGGTATTGAAAGGTTGGTTGGGGTTTTGAGGCTTCTAGGGGATAATATTGTTTGAACAAAATCGGGGTTAGTCTATTGGAGATGTGAATGAATATAGTCAGGGAGGAATTTGGAAAGTTACTTGGAATCTAGATTTGGACATAAATAAGGATGTCTAAGCTTTTTAATATGAAAACTTAAAAATGGTTAAACCATATAAAATTTAATAAATATATAGTTAAACTAGTTAATCAAGTATTTATTAGCCCTGTTTCTTCCTTGTTAAACTGCAACCATAATACAACCTCAAGTTCACTTTCTCTTGTAATTGAGTGTTCAGAAATGTGACCTTATTCATAGAGGTAATATGTAACATACTTTGCAAGTACAGAGAAAAATTTCTTTGGCTTAGAATGTCATGGAGAACATGAAGAAGGTAACTTTTTAGCAGGCTATTAAGGAATGGGTAGAATTTGAAAGGTAATTCTGTATTTTTTATGCATTGTTAGGTACTTAGTTTAACAAACTTTTAATAACAACCCTGTGAGATAAGATGATATTCCTTCTTATAAAACTAAAACTCAGAGGTTATATAACTTGTCCAAAGTCACACAGTGGCTGGACAAGGATTCTCATGGAGGATTATCTAATTCCATAGTCCTTGGTCCCTTTCTTACTCGAAGGAATGAAGACATACATTATCTTTTGTTAGTCAGCTTTGAAGGCTCAATGTGTTTCTTGCTCAGTGGATTTCCATGTATTGAGAGGCTAGTTATGATAGCATAGCTAATAAATTTCCCAGTGTCAGTTGATAGTATGTAGATATTATTGTGATGCTGATCTCTTAGAATTGTAGATATTAGGGTTAGGCGGAATCTTAGGTATTATTTCAATTTCTGAGTCTTTCACACAGGTCTGATATATAGTTGTCTAATCAGAATTTGAACATTTTATTGAAAGGGAGATAGCTAGTTTGTGAGGCAGCCAGATTCATTGTTGGGCAGCTCTAAAGTTCTTTCTTTTATAGAATCAAAATTTACTTTCACGTTTTTTCTTTTTCATAATTATTGCTTACATATGAGCCATTTTTGTACATGGAAAACACACATTCCTTTATACGGTTTAGGAATTCCACTAAGCACCCATTTTTTACTTTAGTACAGCACCAGATAGTTGGGCTTTGACTAGTGAAGTTATTGAATAGTTCCTTTGTGGTAGGAAATGCTTCTGAGCAATCTAAGTTTGAGTTCAGTGTTAAGTAGGAAATACAGGATTTGGTGCTAGTAGGCTCGTGGTATTGATGTGGTGTCTAAAGGGGAGGTGAGGCAGATAATGATCCTTTTGTCACCCTAAAATGGGAACTGGAGCAGTCATTTTTCTGCCCTGACTCAGAATAATACCAGAGTAAATGCTTTCAGCTTTAATGGAGGATAGGCTCTT